AATTTCCACTGTGAGAACAAGCAACATTAAAAGATGGGTGAACTAAACACATTAAGAAATATTATCCTTGGGGCGCCTGGGTGGCTCAGTCAGTTAAGCATCCAACTCTTGATTTTGGCTCAGGTCATGATCTCAAGGATCGTGAGACTGAGCCCCATGTCAGGCTCTGTGCTGAGCGTGGAGCCTGCTTAGGATTCTCTCTCTCTCTCTCCTTCTGCCCCTCCCACCCCCCTCAAAAAAATTTTTTTTAAGAAATATTATCTTCTAAAATGATTATATTGCTGTAAACCCACAATAGCTACTTTAAAGGGATAATTATCGAGCAGCTCCAATATGCCTGGGCTGTTACATGATCTCTTACTCAATTCTAACAATATTCCTGAGAGGTAAATGTTATTAGTCCTATTTTATTAATAAGAAAGCTTAAATTCTGAAAGGTGAAGTAACTTTCCCACACAGCTGGGATGGGGCACACATGGGATTTTTGACACAGATTTGCCTGACTGTAAATTCTGCTAGTTGCCACACTCACTCCTTGCCTATCACCATAAGAAACATATTTTGGTGTCATAAGTAACAGAAAATGTAATGCCACTTTTCTTTCTTTTTCTAGGCCCATTGCCATGGGACTTAATGGTAAAAAGCAGGGGGAAAATTTTTTTTTTTTTTTTTTTTTTTATTTGAGAGAGAGAATGAGAGAGAGAGAGCATGAGAGCGGGGAGGGTCAGAAGGAGCAGCAGACTCCCCGCTGAGCAGGGAGCCCGATGCGGGACTCGATCCCGGGACTTCAGGATCATGACCTGAGCCGAAGGCAGTTGCTTAACCGATTGAGTCACCCAGGCGCCCGCAGGGGGAAAAATTTTTTATAAACCACTTTTCGCATGCACCACTAAAGGAATAAAACAAATATAAGAACTTAGTATTGTTCTTGTTGGACGTGCAGGGGTCAGAACATTTTCAAAACGTTAAGAGTTTAAGAAACTCTCTACTGGTGTTTCCTAAACCCTAAACTTTGTCTTCAAGATGTACCAAGGCGCCAGTTTATCTTTGTTAGGATGCAACTGCCAGCTCTCGATGGGTAGGTTCAAACAAAAAATGCATTCCATCAAATTGCAATCCAGAGGAAAGAGTACCCATTAGAACGGTCAAAACACAAATTGCCTTACTAACCATCTCATCATTGTTGTGTTAATATGAACGAAGTTATAAACATTTCCTCCATCAATTACTGATAATACCTTGGCATTCGACCACAAAATGTCTACCACAGCTGCCTATGCAGGGAGTTTCAGTTTAGCCCCCCAAATGGCTGACTTTGATTGTACTGAATATTAGGGCAGGAAAAATAAAGAATCAAAGCCCAGGCTTTGAAATCATTCACACCTGGGTCTGAATCTGGTTTCCCACTCACTGACTATGCGATCTTGAGCTTGTCATGTAAGCTCTCTCAACCTTTGTTTCCTCATCTGGAAAAACTGAATACAGATAGTGCTGCCCTCACAGGGCTCTGTAAGAATAAAGTGGGATAATGCATGTTAAGAGTTGGGTGTACAATAAAAGCTCAATAAAATTTAGCTATGAATGTAATCTTACAGGTCTTCTAGTCAAGGCTATTCATTTTATAAGTATGGAAGCCAAGGCCTAGAAAGTTGGAAATGATTTACCCAAAGTCACAGGGCTGACTCCTGGTAGGGCCCCGAGAGCCCAGGTCTCTGGACTCCCAGACCCAACTCCAGACCTGCTAATTAAGGCATGCAAAGCTTATTGACCACAATCTTTCCAAAACTGAAGACCCACTGTATTAAAACCTTGAAAGGCAAACTGTTCAAGTTGGAACTAGAGTGGGCAGTGGGGGAGGAGAGTCAACGTGCCAGTGAATGGTTTGAACTTGTTTTCCAGGTCAAACTGCTGCTTTCCCAGAACTCCAAGGTCTACTTTCAGGTCAGGGCAAATTGCGTATTCTTCAATTGTCTTGCTGATTTGGAAGATTTTATCAGTTATCGCTTCTGGAGCAGGACCTGGAAATCAAACAGCGAACCGTGGGTCATTTCGTGGGACTGACATGAAAATACAAAGAACACAGAACTCATCCATTCCTCTTCATGAGCACATGTGCCACTCCATCATTTAGGAAGCAAAGTATCAAAATTTTCTAGAAGAAAATATGTTAAGGATCCTTCGTGCATGGCTTCTCATATGCAGGTTCAGCAGAATGAGAAGCATTCCACTGTCACCAAAAGGAAACAAATAATTCCCTTGCTAAGGATCAGAACCAGAACCCTGACCCTCCAAGGCCTTGGTGATTAGTTTATCCTAATGAACAGAAATTGACTATCCTCAAAATGACAGCAAACTCACCTCCATTGGAAATATTAAATTTGATTCCAAAATCTCCATTGGGTCCTCCTGGGTTGTGGCTGGCTGTCAAAATGATCCCACCAATGGCTTTGATCTTTCTAATGATGCAGGATACAGCAGGGGTAGAGAGGATTCCATTCTGCCCAATGACCAAGCGACCAATCTAAGAGAAGAAATCCAGAACGCACACTTGAACATCGATAAATCCAGAGCTATTGCACAGAAACACCAAAACAACAGGCAGATGGACAAAGAAATAGTATTGAACCAGAAAAGGTGTTCTTTAATGAACATCTACAGCTTGGGTTATTATTATTTTATTATGAATTAGAATGTTACTGTTGAATAATATAATCATTGAAGTAGAATCAGCATTGAAGAACAAAGCCATTCCTTCACAAAGCCATTCCTTCAGAGGGTTTTTTGGGACTTTGTAGTTTTAAAATAGTGTGTGGTCTGGGGGAGCTCTAAGTCTCTGGCAAGAAAACAGTATTTGAAACAGTCTTTCCAGACCAGGTTCATAATTTTCACTGAAAAATTGTTAGAAAACCCACATTTTTATCCAATTCAATCATACTTTCAAACCACATTGGGGGGCGGGGGTGAGATACAAGTTTAGCTTGTTAAAGGAATTCTACCCAAAGAGAAGGCTTTTTGTAAATCAAAATTTTTTTTAAAAAGTAAAAAGGGCAAACTTTATATGAAGAGTTTTACAAAATGCATCTCATAAACCTATCTTTCCAGTCAAGCCTGGATTTTGATATGGTGGTCTCCTCCATGCAGGACATACCTACCCATGTGCGGGAGTACCTGGGTTACCTGCTGGGCCTAAGGCAGAAGATGCTGGGGGTTATTACTGATTAAACCAATCAGAACTACCCACAGGTGGTACTTTGCTGTGTTCTTAACTCACCTTCCGGTACCTCTCACAGATGTTATCAGCACAGCTCCTAAATCTTCCCTCACTAACACGTAATTTATATTTGTTTCAACATGACCCAAGTTGGAAAAGAAGGAAGAAGTCCCATCAGTTCCTTGAACATACTTGGAGAAAACCTGACTACTGCATCAAAAGATTTATAAAATGAGGAGTTTGTGCCCTCATTCCATTCTCCCTTCTGCGAGAAGAAAGGGACAGGAATGTTTTAAACATTTCCATTTGTTATTTCTTTTTGCCCCACCCAAGATAAACATGCTTGAAGAAATGACTTACGGTGGAAAATGTGTCTGATGATACCTGGATTCCCTGGGGAAGCTTTTCTGGGACTGTTACCTCTGCCATCCTACAAGTCACTGAAAGCTTGCCTGCCTTATCATCAGCCCCTTGGCTGCCAACCATCTCCCAGGAAGCAGCCAGTTCATTTCAGTTACCTCTTGGCTCTCATTTGTCCATCTCAGAACAATGTTTGTTAGACTAATACATTTGCTATGCCTTGCCTCCCTCAGGAAGTGGTGATGACCAGGGTAGGTGCTAATAACTAGGCTCCTCTGTAGACCAGAGGGACCTGCTGATGGTGTGAAATCATTATTAATGATTATCACTGAGCCGCAGAGTGCTTTCTAAAACCCATGGCATGTTCGATTCATTCTCATAGTTGCTCCCTAGGACTGTTGTATAGATGAAGAAGCTGAGGTCCAAAGTTATGATGCTGCCCATTCGTCCATTTTTGCATTCATCCAAAAGCAATAATAACAAGTGTTTATGGAAAGGTGGTATGGGAGGCACTGGGATAGATGACAGGGCAAGGTCATGTGGCAAATTAGGAATCACAGCTGGCCATTAATAGCTAACTCAATACAGTGAGAACAGTAACATCTCTCCCTTCTAGCAGTTTCTGGGTTCTGAGAAGAGTGAAAGTCTATGGTTGAGCAGTTCCATAATTTCAATAGGAGGGGCTTAATTAAGGATGGCAATTTAATCAGCCAGAGTGGTGATGAAGTTATCTGGAAATTATACTTGCACATCAATTATACTGACTTGTACTCAGATCTTATATGTATTTGGTATGGAGAGGGAGACTGGTGAATGAATATTAACCTGCACCACCCGAGTCATCCCTTATTCTACCATTCTTTAGGGTGAGATCTGCAGTCAGTAATGGCCCAAGAATAAGGGGATTATATCAGGAGTAAGAACAAGAAAGTCAAGAGAAAGGAGCAAGGAAGTCCATGGTACCTTCTTTCTCTTCAGCCCAAGAAGAGTAACAGCTGATCAAAGCCTCTCCTTCCAGAGAAGACTCTCTCCTGTGAATCACCCTCGGGAATATTAATCCTCAACCTGATATTGAGGAGGTATTACTCTATTATCCTCCTTCCCTTGACAATGTCTGGAGCACTGCAACAGCTCCTGACTCAACCTCCCCTTTCTCTTTCCCACCTGTACCTCCCTTATTCTACCCTGGCTGAATCCATCCCTCCAACTCAGGCCCACCTAGTTCATCTTTTTTTTTTAGATTAAAATATTTTATTTTCCGGGCGCCTGGGTGGCTCAGTTGGTTAAGCGACTGCCTTCGGCTCAGGTCATGATCCTGGAGTCCCTGGATCGAGTCCCGCATCGGGCTCCCTGCTCGGCAGGGAGTCTGCTTCTCCCTCTCCCACTCCCCGTTTGTGTTCCCTCTCTTGCTGTGTCTTTCTCTGTCAAATAAATTAAAAAAATAAAAAATAAAATAAAAATAAATATTTTATTTTCCTAAAAAGAAACAACCTTAGACTGGAATAACAAATCCCCTCTTCCATTTCCCACCTGATTAGTTTGACTTCCTCCCATTTAAAAGGAATTTGGGTCACAGAAGAACATTCTAAGGCACCATTTAAATATATGCTTCTTGGGGCGCCTGGGTGGCTCAGTCCTTAAGCGTCTGCCTTCGGCTCAGGTCATGGTCCCAGGGTCCTGGGATTGAGCCCCACATTGAGCTCCCTGCTCAGCGGGAAGCCTGCTTCTCCCTCCTCCACTCCCCCTGCTTGTGTTCCCTCTCTTGCTGTGTCTCTCTCTATGAGAAATGTTAAATTTCTGGACAATCCTTTTTCCAGTGGCTAACCAGATCTGTACATTAGTAATGGGTTCCAGATTGTTTAGTTGAACAACTGACAAATTATTTTTATTCCCAACTTCAATACTCTTTGCCTTAGAAACAATTTTTGGTGTGGCACTTCCCAGTCTGTGATCCTGTCCTGAGAACGGCTGGAACACAGGCTTCGTTGACATACATACTTCGTTTTTTTTGTCTTCAACTTTAACATCCACCTCCTCTTTATCAAAAATTCCCTGTAATTCCAAAGGTAATTCCCCTTTTTTGATGGAGTTCAGAAACTGCTGACTTGCACCATCAGAGTAACTTCTGAAATCATCATTGACTGTGAATCCACTTTTCCATAATTTTATACTTACATCGACCTGTTTCTTCTGTTCAGTGGGAGACATGCATTTGGCACCAACCTTCTCAGCTTCCTCAAAAAGGCTGTCAACAAAATATTCACAATTTCTTTGACGATCATCACTAAGAGGTTGGTTGTCAGATCCTGTTTCACAAACCCACTCTTCTTTTACACTTTTGAGATTATCTATTTCTTTCATTCTTTTGCCTTACTCCGGGCTCGTCCTCCGTTTGCTCAGGGGCCGTGGGCGCCACCGCTGCTGTCGGGCTGGAGCCCCTCAGATGGGGAGCACTGCCGCCCCCAGACCCGCTGAGGCTCGTGGGGCCACGCCGCTGGGACCCAGCCCACCTCCCTGGGCCTCCGTCGCCGGGCACCGAGCGCTAGTTCATCTTTTTAAACCATAGTTCTGTGTCTCTCCTCTGCGCAAAAACCTTCCCTGTACTATAAGACCCAGAAATTCCAATTCTAGCTATAGACACAAAAGAAAGCAGGGACTCAAACCGGTAACTTGTACACCCATGTTCATGGCAGAATTATTCACAATAGCCAGAGGTCCATCAAGAGATGAATGCATAAACAAAATATGGTATATACACACAGTGGAATATTATTCCGCCTTAAAAAGGAATGAAATTGTGATACATGCTACAATATGGATGAACCTTGAAAACACTATACTAGGTAAAATAAGGCAGACACATAAGGACAAGTATTTGTATGATTCCATTTAAATGAGGTACACAGAAGAGGCAAATTCATAGGCAGAAAGTAGAACAGAGGTTGCCAGGGGGTGGAGGTGGGGGAGAAATGGGAAGTTATTGTTTAGTGGGTACGGAGTTTCAGATGGGATGAGAAAAAAGTTCTGGAAATGGATAATGGTGATGGTTGCAGAATATTGTGAGTGTAATTAATACCACTGCAAGTGTGTACTTAAAAATGGCTGACACACTAAGTTCTACATTACATATACTTTACAAAAAAAAAATATATATATATATATATATATTTTTTTTTTTTTTTTTTCTTAAAAGAAAAATGCTTCCCTGGCTCCCAAGTGTCTACCAACTTACAGATAACTCCCTCTAGCTGGTACTCAAAGTACCCCCATCAAACAGCCTTTCCTGTCCTTCCCTCCCCCTCCTGCTACTCCTTCGTGCATAACACAGTTCACACTACAAGGAGGGATACCTTACTGTTTACCCGCCATTTTATCGTCAAACACGACAGGGAGCAAACTTAGTTTTCCTTTTAAAAAACAGGACCTGGTGTTTTCTTATGTTTCACAAAAAAACAAGTTCCACGTTCTTTGCCCTGCTGGCCATATATACATATTCTTATTTCTAAACATATCTCTAAGTTTAAAGCTCTGGAGACCAAATGAGATATCAGTATTACAAATGGGGCCCCACTAATGTCTTATTTTTGTATGTTAAAATTTCCTGTACTTCTTAGCTCACAGAAACATCATGTAAAAAAAATTTCCTATAAATGCAGACAGCTCTATGCAAATAAAAACAAAGGGAAACTTCTAACAAAGGCAAATTATATTCTACAGTCCATAAATGCACCAGAGAAATGTGTAATAAAGAGAAAAAAAAATGAAATGATCTTCATTTAGTTCACTAGGCTGAAGAGGCTTCCAAGAATCGGCTTAAGGGTGGAGTGGGTATTGACAGAGGTGAGGAAGGAACAATGACTTCTACCAGAATCTGTGGCAATAAATTATCTTTCCTTTACATTTCCTCCCTAGAGCTCTGTCCACAATCAAAGGGATGTTACAGGCGTCAGAACTGAGGATATGTTAGAAAAAGAAGGAATCAAACCATCTAGGAGGTGATAGGTTCTATCAGATTAAAGTGCTTTATTGGTCCACTAAATGTTTGACGTAATTCAATTTGGTTGCATGACTGCTTTAAATGCAACACTATTTTTTTAAAGTTAATTTAATTTTATTATGTTAGTCACCATACAGTACATCATTAGTTTTTGATGTAGTACCACACTATTTTAAATAAAGAACGCCCTTGAGAAGATTTCAAAATATTGCTTGGCCTGCCACAGCTCTAACAAATAGGCAGTTACCCTATTTAGTCAATTATTATCACTTAAATATATTATTTAGCAAACCTTCAGATCGTAAATCTGAACAAGTCTATGGGGTCTGCCTGAATTACACATTCCTACCACCTCTTCCACACCCTTCAGCTCCACACAAAAATGAAATGAAGCCAAATATATTACAGCTAAGGGGACAGTGTACCAGATCCACTCAACAATCTAGATATAGGCGGAGAAATAATGTTCCTTTCGTTCTTTCTCTAAAGATTAAAAGCATCTTAATACTGTTCCCTTCGCAGCTCTCCTCAAAGGTGAGATTTATGGCATGTCACATTTTATCTTAAAAATGTGTATGCTTCATAAAATGTCATATTTGAGTGCTTTATCAGCAATTTTTACATGAGAGGCATTCAGATTCCAAAACTGGGCAGGAAGGAAACTTCGCATTATAAACATTAGGATCTACAAACATTTTTTAATTTAATGTGGCGGTGTGTTTTTGTTTTTGTCTTTAATTTGGGTTTTGCAATCACGCCTGCTTGGTGTATTATTAAAATAGACTGACGATGAATGCCCAACACATGGGGTTGCCATGCTAAATTTTTACGTTCTCAGAACCAGAATCACTCCCAGAAAGGAAATGCAACAGATTTTTTAAATTTGTGAGTTCTGAGGGACTATGTGCTCCAAATTACTGCTAAGTATAATTTAAAACACTAAAAATATATTTTTGGTCCCACAGAAGAATCTGCAGAGCAAAAACAGCAACGTCCTGATGCCCACCTTCCTGCAAATCAGTGGGACTGTGCAGATTGTTAGATTATCAAGATCAATGCCTTCTGGTGCAAGATTCCTTCTGATTTGGTTAATTCAGCCAATGCAGTTTTTCACAATGCAGAGCTCTTAGCAGAGCCTCCTTATATTATAGTCTTACAGGAGTTATTAACTCTACCCTGCTGCACAAATTCGCCGCACACAGGGCTTCTTTGTGCCCAAGGTCATTATAAGCAGGTTCCCCTGTAACAGGTCCTCTTGGTAGGCTTATACCTAACATTTTCCAATCCCCTCCTGGCATTTCTGCATGACTACCAGGATCCACAAACAACAGCATGCCCTGGCTTTTGTTTTCCTGTTTGACAAGTGACTGAACTTCAACAAGGAAGCCATTGAAAGAAAACAAAATCCTCCTCTCTCCACTACTCATTAGAGCCTTCTTACATAGGAGAGGGTACCCCTTGGAACTAGGTTAGAATGTAGATAAGACCGCTTAAGGCTGGGGGTGTGCTTTAAATGTCTAAAAAGCAACAGGTATTTTTTCAAGCAAAAGGCACAGAGTACAACACTTAAGGAGCCGAACTCACATTCCTATATCCCAATGTGACTAATGTAATCTCAGGAGTCATATCACAATATACGTTCTCTGAAGTCACAAAGAAACACTAACTGGATGTTAGTAGCAGGTGTACACAACATACAAATCTTTGTACTTTTGTATATTTCTGCAAAGTGAAGAAAGACACATAACAGTAATTATCGTATACCAACCCCATTGGCGGCCGCCATCTGCACTAGTGTTTCTATCGCCGATTTATTAAAATACCGCCCATCTCCACCAACCACCAGTGAGGCTCCCTGGCGATCTTTAAGGTCTATGGAAAAGAACAGACTCTGGATGAAATTCTCCAGATAACATGGCTTCGCCTCAAAACAATAGGTTTTCTTCCGTAATCCACTAGTTCCCGGCTTTTGGTCATAGTAAGGAGCAGTAGCAAAGGTCAACAGAGGAAGAGGACCTTCTTCCATTTTTCTATATTTCCCAGAAATCCATTCATCAAAATCACTCATCTTTCATTTTCACCACTTGGCTCAGCAAGGGGTTCCGGAGAGCAGGCAAGGGTCCTCAAAATAGTCTATCCGAACTGAAGCTGCAACAGTGTCATCTGAGTAACTAAAACAGAGGTCGGTCACTCTCAACGAGGAAGCTGGGTTAAGTCCTTGCTGTCGTCACCCCTGGTGAAAAGTGAAGGGCCACACGCCCGCCCACACCCACACACAAAGCACATCTTCCAAGCTGTTTTGGTGAGGACACTTCTGCCCACATAACCACGCCAAATACCCTTCAATTATTTTTGCCTCATCTCCCCCGTTAGATCGCTCCAAAGGATTCTGGCAGCCTTCAGTCACAAACACCAGCTGGCTGTCAGACTCCCCTCGCAGAGCCCAGGCAAAGATGGAGCAAGTGCGGTCCCCAAAAGCAGGCTCATCGTGAACAGGACACCCTGGTGTAGCTCTCACTGCTCCCGACACCCCTTAACGCAGAGCCTCTCTGGGCACTCGCTGCTGAGAAGGCCGTCTGCTGCTACAGTTGTCCCATGCCATCTAGCAAGTTAAAGGTCAATCTTAAAATGGAAGTGAGGGATCTCAGTTACCTCTGGTTTCCTTACATCACCATCATTTTGATACCCAAGTCATTTTTTACCTCCCATGTGCCATTCCAGTTGGAAGGAAGAAAGTCGCCAAACAGAACAGATTTATTCATTGCCCACCAAGGATTTAGCAAAACGGCATTCAGCTCTAGAAGAGTAGATACCTACAAACATGCCTGAATGATCAACAGCTTGGTCATTCCCTTGAACTTAGGGCAATGTGGGAATGGAGATGCACCAAATCCTTGAAAACGTCAGCGAAACGGGGAGGGAAAAAAGTATGTTTCTCTAAGTGCACAAGGTCTGATCAAGTTATTATCTGGGAAAATAATATGAACATATGATTAAATTTTGTGTTTTCATTTTCTCAGGTTTTTTTTTTAATGATTTTATTTATTTATTTGACAGAGAAATAGAGAGCACAAGCAGGGGGAGCGGCAGGCAGAGGGAGAGGGAGAAGCAGACTCCCCGCAGAGCAGGGAGCCGGACGCGGGGCTCCATCCCAGGACCCTGGGATCATGACCTGAGCTGAAGGCAGGTGCTTAACGACTGAGCCACCCAGGCACCCCTGGTCCCTGAGATTTTATTAATGATCTATTTAAACGCATGCATGTGTCTTCCTTATCTAGTTCAGCAGAAGCTGACGATTAAGAAACTCCACTGTCGAGGTTTTGATGAACTTGTCAAGGATGCTTAAAAAGTAAACCAGGACTAATTATACCACATGTTTGGAGAGTCTGAGATGCACTGGAGTCCAGGTTTTCAAGCGAAACATGAATAATCCCTTGGTAAACAAAATCTGAGTATTGTCCTACTAACTTGTCAAGCAAGGTCCGAAAGCAAACGGGACTGGGAGCAGCAGACTGCCCTCTCTGCTCAGGGGGACGCTCTGTGCAGGACCAGCTGAGTGAGCGGGCCCAAGAGCCGAAGGCAGCCTCTGGCGGCAAAGCCTGGGCTGCTTCCAACGACAAATGGTGCTGGTCCAAGTGCAGGGAAGACCTCGAGACGTAACATTAAAACAATTCGCAAGACCACGTCTGGTAAGCCAAAAAGCAGTTGGCCAAAGAACACGTTTTATAGCTTATTTGGGGCTTTTATTTACTTTCTAAAAATGAAATTCTTTAGAAATTAATTTATGAAGTCAGCTTGCTGTACTGACAGTTTACATACCCACTGTTTTGCAATGACAATAAAGGCATTTTTTTATTCATTTTTTTTTTTAAGTCTGGTGCCAAGTTTTCTCTGGTTCTAGACAGGCTTGCAAATTAGGCCAGCACATGTGTCTTGACATATTTAATAATAGATCAAGATTTATGAAATATCAACCCCATAATCTTTTCATTGGGAATAACAGAGCAACCGACCACATAATTGGTAGTTTTCTTAACAAGTTCTTGCAATCCCAGGGTAGACTTAGGGGCACTTGGTCATAAGGGTGCGCCAAGAGCCCCAGCTGAAGCTTCTCTGCCCACACATTCCATCCTCTTCTCTGCTGGCGGTCTGCCGCTCTCTCTGTGAAGCTCAGTTCCTGAAGCTCGAACCAAGACAGTTAACATTTTGTTGGTTTTTTTCCCACGCATTGATTTTATTTAGTTTATGGTTAATGCAGATCAATTTCATAAAATGAGAAGTTACGAAGAATCAAGGCATAATTATGCAAATTCAAAATAGATGTTCAATATAAAAAAATACAAGCATAAAAGTGGGTTTGTTCACAGCATGAGATCCAACAGCTTTTGCTTCAAAGGATAGGAAAGACTTTTTTTTTTTCTTGAAGACTGTGGCCACATCACATGCTAGAACACCTCAGCTTACCAGTGTGTTTTCATGTGAACCATAACTTGTTTCTAAAAATATTTTTTTACACCGTAAGTGCTGTAAAAGCTGCACTTTTCCAGAATTAAACCTGCTTTTGGACCTAGCACCAGTTTCTAACTATCTAAAAACTAACTGATACAGAAAGTATTCCAAATGTAACTATTCTGATTCTTAAAAGTTAAAAAACTTTCTGGGTGCCTGGGTGGCTCTGTCGGTTACGCGTCTGCCTTCAGCTTAGGTCATGATCCCAGCGTCCTGGGATCGAGTCCCACATGGGGCTCCCTGCTCAACAGTGAGTCTGTTTCTCCCTCCCCCTCTGCCCCTCCACCTGCTTGTGCTTGTGCTCTCTCTCTCTCTCTCTCAAATAAATAAATAATCTTAAAAAAAAAAGATTATCCTATTTAAAAAAATAACTTTCCAAAGTAGCTTAAAAGAAATATTGCAAACTTGGTAATGCTGGTACTCTTCCAATTACCTAATATGCCATCTCGGGGGTGATTATTATTTGCCTCTTAATTTCAAGATTTTTAAATATACCTTCCCTGTAGATCATCTTCACATTTTCAAAATTATTTAACGCAGAAGGAAACGGATAGTCGTGACTGAGCACCAAGAGATCATACATGTCTAACCTGTAGAATCAGGTCACTAAGTTAACCCAGTGGGTGAACCCAGCGCATCCCTCTTGCATGGAAATATCTAGGTGGGCACATGGACCTTTTTCCCTCCCTATGTGTGAGCCAGCCCTCCAGCGAGGCATGGATTGGGGAAAATTCCCTCTCTCATGGCTCTTGCACATGTCAATGAATACCCAGCAATTTAAGTGCACACTGAATCTAAGCCTCCAGAGGAAAGAGTTCTATACCCCAGAACAGAGAGTAGTAACATTGTCAGTGACTACATATGTCCAGCACGGTGTTGGTCAATATGCAAAACTAAAGCAATAAGATATAACCCTTGCCCTAGAAAAGCTTCTATTCTAAAAATGAGCCTGAGTCATAATTTTATGGACACTGTAGAACTCAACCCCATATAAAAATATTACCAGAAGCAGCAATGTTAGATGAACTGTGAAGTGTGGTAAAAAAGAAGGGGCATTAAGAACATGAAGCTTCCTATGACGCGTGGACTAAGTGGGGCAGCTATTAAGAAACTCATTTGTTTTAGCTCTCCAGCAAAGGTTGAACTTCATCTTCGGAAACGTTACTGTCGAGCATAGCGAACCCAATTTGGCCTAATGAATCTGCCTGCATTGCCGGTACTCCTTCACAGTGACACAAATTACATTTAAACCACATGGGGGATTTAAGGATTACTCCCTTCAGACTAGGAACTTTCATACTGGTCTTGGGTCCAATCAATTTCACGATGGCAGAGTTATGAACCCCTTCACTCCCAGCCTCACAAAGACTCCAGCACCCGTTCTGATCTGCAGATAGCTTCCTAGTAGAACACAACAGAAACTGTAGACTTACCCATCCTTTACTCATTCTCACTTTCTGTCCATCAGTAAATACTTACTGAGTAGCTAACTACCATGTTCTTTGGCTTTTGCCACAGTAGTGGACATGGGGGATGGGATTGCTAACCCTGCCTCCAGGTGTAAGCACTGGAAAGAAAGCGAGTCATCGGGCTAAAAGTAGCAGGGATCATTAGACCCCCAGCCTGACACCCTGCACTATGTGACAGCTGCAGGCGCCTGCCTGAGTGGTTGGGGTATGTGACCCAAGTGATGGGAAGACACTCATTCATTTCTCCCACCAACAGTAGGTAAGCATGTCATGAATACCAGCACTGGGCTAGGCATCGCAGGATAATGCAAAGACCCCATGTTTAGGAGCCAGATAAAACCAGGGCTCAAATCTGACTTTCAACTGCATGAGAAATGTAATCGTGAGCAAGTTACTTACCTGCACTGAGCCTATAAAATGGGAACAGCTCTCCAGGTTGTCCTGGGAACTGAATCAGGTAATATGTGAAAACATGTAGTGCTATGTCTGGCAGCTAACAGATTACCAGTAAATGGTAGCCCCTTCACCCTCTCAATCCTCAGTCTCCTCATCCCTACAATGGGATAAGGTTTTTGTGATGACAACCTCACCAAGTGTCTAGGAAAGACTTTGTGAACTAGAAAACAATGTAAAGATATGAATTTTTTTTTCATATTCAGGAGGCAGAGGAGGAGAGAAAAAGGGCATGGACCTTTGTTCTTAAGAAGTTCACGTCAAGAGAGCGCCTGGGTGGCTCAGTCGTTAAGCGTCTGCCTTCGGCTCAGGTCATGATCCCAGG